GGTTGTTCATTGAGGTACATCTTTTAGCGTGCGCGTGACCCAGTTTTAAATAGATGAATGTGATGATTTCCTTTTCACGAGCACACAATTCAGCTTCTGTGCACATGCACCACGCGCTGTTCATTGTGATTCTCGCGTTCAGATGATTTTGTTATTGTAACTGTACAATCCAACGGTGGCGCGGATTCAAATCATAAGTTGACGTATTTTTGTATGTAGTATATCTGTACACATAAGCATTGATAAAGCACCAACTGGATCCAAGGTTGTTTTTGTTTTTTGGTGTGTGTTTTTGTTGTTGTTGTTGTTTGTTTGTTTTGTTTTTTTGTTGTTTTTTTTTGGGGGAGTAAATATGGTCCAAACAGGTGATCAGTCCCCTCCACTGGAATCCACATCCACATTGCTTCACTCAATTTCTCAAAAGCTGTCGGCCCGATGTTCACGTGCGGAGACGCAAGGTAAAAGGGTATCAATTATTTGCTTGAAATGCACTTCAGTTCCGGATCTGTTTTAGAAGACGACAGGGCTAAACATTTACTTTTTACAAGACATGATGCAGACTTTCAGAAAATGCACGATGGTGGGTTATTGGCTTGTATGGCGCAGGTTAAGTCCTGTTGAAACATCGTTGCTAAGATTAACCACGCGGTTATAAGTCGAGTTGCAGAAGCATGTGGCCAATAGTGAAGTAAAGGATCGTCCAAGACCTAGAAGACTGAGGAAGACCAATGACTGTGATGACCGAATCCTAATTCGTCTGGCAAGAGGCAATGACTCTGCGCCGGCAATGGACAGTGGGAGTCCGACCCTTCCCTAGTACCATCAGAAGTCCACTCCGGGCTGTTTTTCTGAGGGAACGTCGGCCAATGAGACGTCCCCATATCAAAGGATCGATTGGCGTGGTGCAGGCTCCTGAAGAAACCATAACTTGGGTGCCTTAGCGCTACGACAGTCGTAAGTCTGTGTTAAGGTATGGAGTTACGATCACTTTAGCCCAAAGATCGCTTTGTACAACGGAACCCTGTCGTTCTTCTTCGTTTTGCGTACGGAATCATCGTAACGAGACAAGCCATCACGGGATCATCGTAACGAAGCAAGCCATCACGGGATCATCGTAACGAGGCAAGCCGTCAGGGGATCATCGTAACGAGACAAGCCATCACGGGATCATCGTAACGAAGCAAGCCATCACGGGATCATCGTAAAGGGGCAAGCCATCACGGGATCATCGTAACGAGGCAAGCCGTCAGGGGATCATCGTAAAGAGGCAAGACATCACGGGATCATCGTAACGAAGCAAGCCATCACGGGATCATCGTAACGAGGCAAGCCGTCAGGGGATCATCGTAACGAGGCAAGCCGTCAGGGGATCATCGTAACGAGACAAGCCATCACGGGATCATCGTAACGAAGCAAGCCATCACGGGATCATCGTAAAGGGGCAAGCCATCACGGGATCATCGTAACGAGGCAAGCCGTCAGGGGATCATCGTAAAGAGGCAAGACATCACGGGATCATCGTAAGCAGGCATGCCATCACGGGATCAGCGTAACGAAGCAAGCCATCACGGGATCATCGTGAGCAGGCATGCCATCACGGGATGATCAATGCAGCTGAACCATTTGGTGGTGACTCAGTGATGGTGTGGGAATGAGTGTTGTATGACTGCAAGCTGGATTTCATAAAAGTACTTGGACACTCAATGGTCAACGTTATCAACAGGAAGTAATGGATACTAACGTGGAGCCACATTTCGATAAACATCTCCTTTCCAGTCGTCCGACTCTCATGGATGACAGACAGACAGACAGACAGACAATACTTTATTACCTTAAACGGAATTTGTTTTGGATCACAGAACTTGTCAAAAATACAAATGAATAACAACATAAAATATGGAATTATAAACAACACAAAAGAGATAAATATGTGCTTAAATAATATTAAATGAATAAGATGATAAGTGAACATTCAACGTTTGTTTAAAATTGCAATACTTTGAGGTACAAAAGACGTTCGAGCTCGTTTAGTCTTGATGATTGGTACTGTGTAACGGCGGCCGTAAGGTAAAAGCTTATACTCGAGATTTTACAAATGTGTTGTGTCATTAATGATTTTGTCAGACGTTGAAAGTACTTGCCGCTCATAGAGAAGTGAAATATTATCGAAAGTGACCCTGGCTATTTTACTAGCTGTATTTACAATTTGGTTAAGTTTTGATTTGTTTTTGACTGAAAGAGACAACTATAGGCCTCATCATTCTCATCGCCCATTAGCAGAACAGCGTCATCGAAAGATTACCATGGTCCCAAGCAGCCAGATCGAAACCCCATCGAACACCTTTGGGAATATCTTGGCCGAAAGGTGCCTTTGCTCAAAATCTGCAAGAATTGACACAGCAATTTCACGAGGAATAGCGGCGGATTCCGATACTGAAAAATTCGACCCTTGGTCGCCAGTATAAGGAGATTGACAAACCTTATCAATGTGAGGGTTGGCTACACCAGGGACTGGTGTGGTCGCCAGTGGCTGTTAATGGAATCACAGCCACAACAAGAACTTGTGACAGTCAGATTGGTGAGCAACTTTCCGGCATTGTTGATATGCACGTTTTTTGTGCATTCCTCTCATATTCCAAGTAAAGTTTCATCAAATTTTCATTAAAGTTTTGTTTTCATTTCAATCACAGTAACATTTGCTACAGTTACCTTTTTAATACGTGGACTTTGGTTTTCAAAGAACACACAGCAACATGTGGTGTTTTCGTACTAAATCAAATGTCTGTGGTCCTTGATAAATGCTCATGTGAGGAGAATGCTGATTCACGAAGGAACGTGGGGTCGAAAATTGTACTTTATGTGAACAACATTATGTAGTGGAAATGAGTCATTTACCTAGTAGAGCAACACACACACGCATCTTGGTCATATTTCAGTCTAGAGCTTCGTATACGATGGCACATTATAAACCTTCATTAAAAATGTTCTGCCATTCGAGACGAAAATGCATCTAAAGCAAGGACATTTTGAAAGATTTCTTTATGTTAATATTCATCTCATGTGTGTTTCTTCACAAAGTATACGCACTCCCTGTCGCTTAACCTTTCAGTCATGCTTTCAAACGCTACTTTAGGCAATAATTAAAATCCATTTTGTACAATGGCCTACAGTGCGTAGAGTCCTGTTGATTGTAGTCTTTGTTGGTACCTGCATCAGATGTGTGTGATGATGGTGATTCTCAGAGATAAGGTACACACTCAGATGAACACGAACAGACCGGTGCCTGTATATTCGTTCTTGTGTCACCTAAATATGCATAAAGCAGTTAACCGCGCTATTCGTTTCTACCATTTGTGTTTTTTATAATATGCAATAGCATGATGAACTAGGTAATCTGTGGAAACTGTAGTCCTTCAAGTGTAACAGAATATCTCCCTAACCTGCTGTCTGGGTAAACTCGAGCCTGAGTAAATTTGTGCAGAATGTCCATTTTAACAGGCTACTACCGGATCTGGTTTTAATTACGGCTCAAATATGTCCAGAAATTAAAGCTGATATTGCCTGACGCTGAAGACCCGGGTTCGATTCCCGACATGGGTACAATGTGTGAGCCCATTTCTGGTGTCTCCCGCCGTGATATTGCTGGAATATTGCTAAAAGCGGCGTAAACCCATACTCAATCAATCAGTCAATAATATTTCATGCCAATGTCACGTTTAAAAGCTGCTTTCACTCCCAAGTTAGTAGCATGGTTTTACACAGCTTGCAGCAATATTCCAGCAATATCACACAAGCGTAATAAATAGGCAGGGATTGATTTAGCACGTACCTTACAATTAGTGAGTGAGTGAGTTTAGTTTCTCGTCACTTTTAGAAATATTCCAGCAATATCATTGCAGGACAACAGAAATAGGGTTCACACATTGTCCACGTGGGGAATCGAACCCTAGTTCTTCCGGTTTAACGCTTTAACCACTAGGCTACCCCACCGCCCCTTTCCCGATGGTTCACAATCACAGCCAAGGTATAAAAGTCACTGGATCATCCGGTCGCGATAATTTGAGGTCTGGTCCGCATGCCATCGTAACATGCCTGGACTATGCAGTGTGCAGAAATGTACAAGCACACACACACACTTGCACACATACCACGTTCACCAAACACATCACCCATTACACATAACACAACACAACACAGTCGGATTTAATACAAGGCAAATCACAATCAGCTGCACTCAGCAATATTCCAGCTTTTTGGCGTGCTGTAAATAGTCGAGTCTGAACCAGACAATCCAGTGATCAACAGTATGAGCATCGATCTACACAATTGGGATACGATGACATGTGTCAACCAAGACAGCGAGTCGTTAGTCGCCTCTTACGATGGGCACGGGTTACTGAAGATCGACCCGTGAAGGTCCGGGTTAGAATATTGATCTTCAGTAACCCTTGCTTTTCGTAAGAGGCGACTAAAGGGATCGGGTGGTCAGGCTCGCTTACTTGGTTCACACATGTCATCGGTTCCCAATTGCGCAGATCGATGCTCATGCTATTCATCACTGGATTGTCTGGTCCAGACTCTATTATTTACAGACCGCCGCCATATAGCTGGAATATTGCTGAGGGCGGCGTAAAACTAAACTCACTCACTCACTGAAGATCAATTCTAACCCGGATCTTCACGGGATTATAAAAGTACAGGGAACAACAAAGCAAATCCGACCTAACATCGACATAACCTGGTCCCATGCATGTAGCTGGCGAATTGTAAAAACACATGACATCTTGTGTTTTAGTTGTTCTTACCTTAGTACACAACTAGACACGTTTTAATCAAAAGCCGTGGAAAACCTATTGAATAATATATAAATACTACAGTGCAATATTTACGATAGCCCCTGGCCTGCATTGTTTGCTTTGGATGAACAGGTACACGGTGTTAGTGTTCGCGGGATATCGATCGCTCGCCGATAGGTTGTCCTTGGCAACCAGGTAAACACCATGGCGGCCTAGAAAGATTTTCCTTCTGGTGTACGGTGTAATGCTGACTAATCATACGGACGAGTCATTTGCACACGTTTAGTCTATCTCAACATCTGGGATTTTACAATCGGGGTTCAACATTTTCCAGTCTCGTTCAGCTTGCGAGCCTGTTGTGAAATACCCGATAAGGGTATTCAAGGGACAAGCCAATCAGCAAACGTCTGGGTATTTATTTGTGTGTTAGGACGTACAATCGACCATAGATATTGTGTCTCAGCACGTTTAGTACCCGGCGTGTTGGCAGGGTTGTGAGTGCTGTTTTATTCCACACTGGATGAAGGATTTACAAGAATATTCCAGATTACATGAAGCATCCGCAGTCCCCGGTGCCTATATACCTGTTGTTGAAGAAATATTGGTCATATGAAGAATAACGGTATATCGGGAGAAACCCAGGACAGTGTAATTATGAGCAATGGCAGAAAGGACACGCAGAACGGGTATTTGAACGAGGATTGGAACCACAACATCACGTTACCGGTTCAGGTTCGACCGAGGCATGTGGAAAATGGACGAAAAAGAAAACTGGTTCTTCATTTTGATGTGCGGAACACCGTTCTTGTCGCGGATTCCGTGACCAAGGCTCACATGGAGCAAGCTCTCAACAGCTTCCTGTCCGGAGTTGTATGGGGCAATGAGCAAGAGGACGGCACCTGGAAGTGGCAGTGCGATGAGCCCTCACTGGTACCACCGCAAGATGGCGTGATTACGTTTTATCGGCATCTTGAGAAACTAACGGTTAAATGTCCGAGCGACCGTGAACGGCTGAGATTCCTTACTGGAGACTTCACGGACACTGATACCGGATTAAAATTCTTGCCGCATTTCAAGAAACACTTGGAATTGCTGAAATGGAATTACTCAAACGACGAATTTTGTGAACGACGTCTGACCATGAAAGGAGTTGACGGTAAGCCCTACCATTACATACTGCCATCTGTGTACAAGCTCATACATCAGTTGAAAGAAGACAGGAGAGAATTTGCCATTGTTTTAAGGACATACGGTTTGGATTGTAAAAATGTTTTATCAAGTTTATCCTTTGGACTGAAGGGCAATCACCCTGGTTTCCCTCAAGATGCGCATGTGCCCGTTAGCACGTTTCCCGGGCACATCCGGCGCACGGAATCAGGGGACATCACTCTGGAGACTTGGCAAACAGGTGTCGGTGATGTTGCAAACAAACTTCAGCATGAAAGGGACATTTACCGTCATTTGTCCAACTCAGGTGGCATTACAGGGTACAAAGATGATTTTCAAATCTGGCAGAATAACAATTATCATCATTCTGTAGCAAAACCTCTGTGGATAGATCCCAGTGACCATCACGTCCACCATATCTTTTTCGACGACAACTTCCGGGCTTACGAAGAGGACAGTATTGTTGATGTCCGCATGTTTGATATGGATGATAAGACAAAGGCTCGTAGTCTGACGAGGAAGGAACTGGAACGTTTTGAGGACGTGTGTTTAGTCCAAGCAAACCTCTTGGAAAGTATAGAAAACGTGAACTATTTCATTGAGAAGGTGAACAAGTGCGAGATGGGATACTCGAAGTTTCTCAAGCTTGGTGCATTGTGATCACGCGGACATCACACATCCTCAATCAACCACTGCATTTCTCCGTTCTATTAGGATACAAACCCAGTTCGCCTCCATAGCAACGTTTAAGAACGCTGAGAATGTCTCGATGCTAATGTATAAATATACAAAGAATCTACTGAGTGAGTGGGTGTGTACGCCGATTTTAGCAATATTCCAGCAATATCACGGCGGGGGACACCAGAAATGGGCTTCACACATTGTACCCGTGTGGGGAATCGAACCCTGGTCTTCGGCGTGAGAAGCGGACGCTTTAACCACTAGGCTACCTCACCGCCCTTAAGAATCTACTGTCACAAACGAGAGGAACCTACGTCATTTTCTCGGCGGTGTCCCCCGCCATGATATTGCTGGAATATTGCTAAAGGCGGCCTAAAACCATGCTCATTAACTGTCATTTCCTACACGACGCTATGAGGGCAAATGGGCTTAGTGTATGTTTGTAATAGAATGGCGATAAAATGCTCCAGACTGCCGAAGATGAGGACGTTTATGTGGCATTGTTGGGATTTTCAGAATGATATTTCATAACTCTTTACCAAGAACTTTCACAGGACTGGATAATATGGGTCATTATGTGATAAGCTATAGCAGCTGTGGTGTACGAACACACAACGACCATGTAGCTGCCGGTGTTCCTAAACCCGGTAAGACGTCAAGATAATAATGACATTTTCAAAATTCGACTTCGTCGACAAGTGTGTCGATTGTACCTGTTTAATTAACCTTCTAACTAATTCCATATAGTTTGCATATTACTTGATAAGGTATATGTACCAGTATATATCTATATACAAAACATACAGCTCAACTTAGCAACTGCGGTGAGGTGTTAGGGCACTGCAGCGTTTCAAGTAGGCTTAGTGCAATGCAATGTGATATTTCCGTTCTGCATGATTTGGGGATTTGTTTGGGGGTTTTTGGAATTATTTTTTCGAGATTGTGAGGGGATACGAACAACGTAATTATTTAAATTAAAAAATTAAAAGTTTTTAATTTGTAGCCAACAAAATGTTCCTCCATATGTTGTGTACGTGTATGTTCCCAAGATACGCATACTGCTGATGACAATCGCTTGTGTGCAACTGGTACAAGCATCATTGTAAATCACGATAATACTTTGTGAAAATGTATGTATTTAGCTAATCACTAAACAACAATGACATATGTTACTTGATGTCTAAGTGGCAATATGGCATCCACTTATATACTATTGATGTAGTGATGACGCCAGGGAGGGATGAATGAATGAATGAGATTTTAGACATGTCTGTTTGTAGAAATAAGGTATGGTTATTCAACCACATTTGTGTACGGTCTGAAAAGTGAACGTTTTGCAAGAATTTCAGTATGATGCCACTGGATCTACCTCTGATTTTAAAATCACCCAAAAATTTAAAATTAACTGCAACTGTGTCAGTAGTTTGAAACACAGATAGTGCTCAGGGTTGTTTTCGAGATTTACAATTCTTCAAATCCAGTAGGTCGCTGATTTTTGTACTGTGCCCAATATGAGCGTTACATAGATGAGTGACAGTGAGTGAGTGAGTTAGGTTTTCACTTTGAACAGTATTCCAGTTTATATCACGATGTGTCTGCTAAATGTGGGAGGAAATCCCGAAGTAATGCAGGTCACAGACATTTACCGCGTAGGCTACATCCACGAAAACAAGTATGATGCTGACATACCTGGAACTATATTAATGTCAGGAACAGACCTTTATAGCTCAAATTCTAATGTTACTGCCAAACAGAATGGCATGGAACTATATATAAAGAGGTGAAGTTCGGCAGTATACAGTTGTACATATGTAAAGAAATCCAGAAAATACCTGAGGATAAAGTTGAAACGCGTATAAGGGAAATGCGTATTATGACATTATTTTGTGAATTTCTTTGCATTTATATAATATATCGTTATGTTTTGAAATTTTATTTTGTCATTTCATCATTATCTTGTGTACAGCATTATATACAAGTCCGTATACAGGACGTCTAAACTCACACGGGAATCCTCGTAAGTGAGTACTTAGGGTTGCCTTTGGAGCATAATAATTCTGTCATATTGGGACACCAATACCATTTTACTTCAATAACTGCTCGCTGAAATATTCATTATCATATGGGATAAATGGCTGTTTACAAATGAATTGACATGCTGGGATATACCATATGTATATGCCTTTCATAGCTCACACACGATGAACCGCTCTAAATACAACATATTGAAATGGGTGCTCTTTCTTTGTTGTTTATTCACAGTCTTATTCGGTTCGGGTGTCACACCTGAATTGATTATTCGTTTCCCAGTACCATGAAAATATGTTCAGGTCAGTAGATCGAAAAAGATAGAAACATACATAGAATCAATCATATGTATTTTATTAGCTCTCTTGATTTCATTTTTAAGATGACATAAATGTTGTTTTTTATTTTGTATGTTATTTGTATCTACACCGGTTTCCATTTTTTTTCAAATTTCAATTTATAACCGCCCGTGCCATATTTTGAAAGCAGCCTGGCTTTACTCCAGACTGACTGACTGAGTTTGTTTTTTACGCCGCTTTTAGCAATATTCCTGCAACATCACGGCGGGGGACATCAGAAATGGGCTTCACTCATTGTGCCCATGTGGGGATTCGAACCCGGGTCTTCGGCGTGACGAGCCAACGCTTTAACCACTAGGCTACCCCATCGCCCCCCCTTACTCCAGACATGTGTTTGGTTCTACGTACTTGAATTATATATTAAAATAAAATAAGCCTGTGAAATACTTGTCAGCAGTTCATGTTCAGGCGCCTGTAAGATATGCTTCTACAGTTATCTCTAGGTTTGTGCAAACAGCCAAAATATGAATATATGATAAACAAGGTTAAATTGGAACGTACTGCTTCCAATGAAATTACTATGATCAAGGAAGCACGGTTTTCAATGTTTCGTCGTTTGAAGTCCTATGAATTAATTTCTGTCGGAGATACAAGAAATTATTACAATACAACGCGGAAAATATACGGGATAGTTTCAGTTGTATTTTCGTATCCCATTTAAGGAACTGTTTAGTGTCAGTTTTTCCTTTGTGGGTATTTCGGGTTGGAATACTTAGAGGTCTCCAGCACCCTGTGCTTGTCGATTGGGTGTTATTGCACCCGTCTGCTTGCTTTGATGCTCATATTATCAATCACTGGTTTGTCGCTTCAGACACGATTATTTCCATTGAGCCGCCATGTAGCTGAGATACTGCAGACTGTGGTGTTAAACAACAAACAAACAACAATACCGGGTGACTCGGTGCGTAAACATATATCACAGTACTGTATACTTGTCGGTATTGTATCCCGCCACCACGGCAACGGGTAATGGACGTAACCGATGAACATAGGTATGCATTCATAACGAGTCAAGTATTGACTGCCTGTAGGAACCCCGCTGATATCGCCGCCATGTATATATTAGACACGCTAAGTTAACATCGTACCTGTGCCACACACTATACAATGCATGTACCACAATAGGACGAGATCGACCTAGTTCAGTGAATAGCAGCTAACGATCGTTAATGTTCCACTCAAATGGCTCTCAAGCGTTAGGAATGTGAAGGTCACAAGTCGGCGTTGATACCATTTCGGAGTGACGGCCGCTATGGCGACCGGTTTATGGGAACGTGTTCCGCTTGAAGTTTTCTTGCTGTTGACAAACATATCAGTGATTTGACTTAATATAACGGTATTCGCTGCTTGAGTGTTGCATTATCTCTGTCAGATAACATCTTTGCTATGTTATCGATCGATTTGGGGTAAACGTCGAACTATGGCCAATATCCATCTGTTAAGTTTGCTGCGGTAAATTCATGTGTTTCTTGTTGAAATATACATGTTATTTTGCATAAATGCCAAATCAGGTATATGTATTTTCCTTTGGGGCTGAAACCTAATACATAAAGTGACATAGTTCACGACTAAATGTGTGAGTTAAAATTTTAAGCCTTATTTTACAATTGAAAGACATCCTTATTTTACAATTGAAAGACATCCGTGGGGATTTGGAGATATAGGTGATGACAATACCGTGCTGGTACTAGTGAGTGAGTGAGTGAGTTTAGTTTTACACCGCACTCTATTAGGTTGATGGCGTGTCACCATGCCCTGACGACGTGATCTTTGCTCACAATGTCAGTCTGGGGATTGTCTGGTCGCAATAATTTGAGGTCTGGTCTTCATGCCATCGTCTTATGGCTGGACAATGCAGAGTGCAGTGTTAAACGTGCAAGCATGGACACGTGCGCGCACACGCATACGCATACACCCCACGCACACCATACACATTGGTCACCACACATAACGCAACACAACACAATCGGATTTCATATGGGGCAACCCGTGAAGATCCGGGGTAGAATAGGTCTTCAGCAACCCATGCTTGCCACAAAAGGCGTCTATGCTTTTCGTAAGAGGCGACTAACGGGATCGGGTGGTCAGGCTCGCTGACTTGGTTGACAAATGTCATCGGTTCCCAATTGCGCAGATCGATGTTCATGCTGATGATCACTGGATTGTCTGGTCCAGACGATTATTTACAGACCACCGCCATATAGTTCTAGCTGGAATATTGCTGAGTGCGGCGTAAAACTAAACTCACACACTCACCCAAATGGGGCAAATCACAACCACTTCATTGTACTCACCTAGTACATGTTTGTAGTGCTACACGTTTGTTACCCAGTCAGTGGACCTGACAAACCAGTGATCAACAGCATGAGCATCGATCTACGCAACTGGGATACAATGACATGTGTCAACCAAGTCAACGAGCCTGACCACCCGATCCCATTAGCCGATCCTCTTAAGACAAGCATGGGTTACTGAAGATCAATTGTAACCCGGACCTTCATGGCTCTCACCCAGCAGTAAGTAAGTACCCAGTAGGTTGAAATGGTAATGTGTCTGTTAACCTTCTTGGGTTGTATACCCCGGGGAGTCGAGAATGACAATCGAATGCACACTGATCCACTAACTGGGTAACACAAATGTAGCCCTACTAGCATGTACTAGGTGAGTGAGCAATATGGCGGCGGTCTGTAAATAATCGACGCATTCCCATTTCATCCTACCGGGTACTTATTCACCGCTGGGTGAACAGAGGCGTGACAGACTTGCATCGTTGCTGCTGCTGACTTGATTTGTCAGTACGGCGTTTTGTACAGGACCGCGTAAATGAAAAGGTAGGCATTGCCCTTATGGGGAAATCGTTCAAGCATGCATTCAGAGGTTGCACGATTTGGGGAAAACTTTGTTTTACATTCCCCATGCCCCATGCCACATTTCACAACTTCTGCTTTACAGTTACACAGACAACACCGATGGCAACTGTTGAATGAATGAGCCCGCGAGTATCAAATTGTGTCAGTATGACTGTCGTAGGTCTATGTTAAAACGAAGCCCCTTTTTATAAAGGAATCGAAGTCGTATGGCTGTCATAGGTCTATGTTGAAGTACAGCACCCGTTTCACAAAGGTGTCGTAGGCGTATGGCTGCCGTAGGTCTATGTTGAAGTACAGCACCCGTTTCACAGAGGTATCGTAGGCGTATGGCTGTCATAGGTCTATGTTGAAGTACAGCACCCGTTTCACAGAGGTATCGTAGGCGTATGGCTGTCATAGGTCTATTTTGAAGTATAGCACCCGTTTCACAAAGTTATCTTAGGTTTATGTTGAAGTTTAGTACCCGTTTCACAAAGGTGTCGTAGGTTTATGTTGAAGTTTAGGACCCGTTTCACAAAGGTGTCGTAGGTTTATGTTGAAGTTTAGGACCCGTTTCACAAAGGTGTCGTAGGTTTATGTTGAAGTTTAGGACCCGTTTCACAAAGGTGTCGTAGGTTTATGTTGAAGTTTAGTACCCGTTTCACAAAGGTGTCGTAGGTTTATGTTGAAGTTTAGGACCCGTTTCATAAAGGTATCATAACCGTGCGACTGTCGTACATGTAAGTCAATGTTAACGTATAGGACCCGTTTCACAAAGATATCGTAGCCGTATGACTGTCGTACATGTAAGTCAGTGTTAAAGTACGTGACCCGGCTCGTGTCACAAAGACATCGTAAACGTATGACTCTCGTAAGTCCATGATAAAAAAGGACCTGTTTCACAAAGGTATGTTAGCTGTCTGATTGTCGTATATCTATGTTAAAGTATAGGACCTGTTTCACAAAGCGACCGTAGTAATACGACTATCGTAAATCCCACACTCTGATAAACTTATCTGGCATGTTTCTGTGTTTATGCCTGCCTTCACTGGCAACGTACACTTCGCTGGTTCAACCGGATGCTGATGCTGAGTGAGTGAGTGAGTTAGTTTTGTTTTACGCCGCTTTTAGCAATATTCCAGCAATATCACGGACACCAGAAATAGGCTTCACACAATGTACCCATGTGGGGTATCGAACCCGGGTCTTCGGGGTGACTAGCGAACGCTTTAACCACTAGGCTACCCTACAGCCCCTGCTGATGCTGACACTATAATACTATGTTAATGAAAACATTGCTACAATAATAAAACTCGGAGACGATCAAGATATTGTTTTACCATTTATTTCCACCAACTTGTGTATTTTGTTGCAAGCAATGAATCACAAAGGACGGTGTTCGCAATACAGTGCTTTGAAGCTAGTCTTTTAAGAGAACAATTGGAAAACTGTACTCAAAGTCTGAATGTTTTGTCATGTTTCGTCGACCGTTATCTGAATGTTTACTCCGGTCGATATAAGTTTTCATAAGAACGTTTGTTAAGCTAAATCAACATGTATTGATTTATTATGATTTTTATTATTTATCACCAGGTTGGAAGTAATTTCGTCCTGCAAGCAAAGTTTTAATGTACTCAAACAAACAAGCATCCTTCGGTTTATCGATCGACAAAACATTGATGTCAGTCTCATAAAAGCAAATGGGGGTGACAACCATTATTGGCATGAGTATATACAGTGAGTGACTGGGACCAAGAAAACCGGTTCGTTATAACCGTCAATACATTATAAGCGTGTTCGTTATAAACGTAGTGTACTGTATACCGTATTCATCATATCCTTATTTGAGGCAATGCCAAATGAAATGCTCTCTACTTACGTATGTTTAAATTCTAAGCATGTTTAGATTAGTTTAATGTTTAAACGCGTTAAAATTGCTCCGATTATAGAGATGTTGTGTTTCTTTGATATTTAGGCAGTGAATGAGTGAGTATGGTTT